TCCTGATTTCTTAGTTATCTATGTTATTAATATGTCATGATACATTGTTTGTTTTCCTGTGTTACTACACTACTACACCTATATACATAGCTATATACATAGCTATATATTCATAGCTATACATTTATCCTTATTTCTGTTGTTCCATAATATTTCTTTAATCATTTTCACGATACATCTTTTCATTTAACCATTTGTACCATGTATTCCATGTTGTAAAAAATTCTCCCTCTTCCTTGTTTTTTAATATCATAGTTAATCTAATCATTTCTGCGCATTGATAAATTTTGTTGATTACTGCTAAATCTTTGGGTACCATTGTTAATTTCCAATTTTGGGCAAAGGCTATTCTTGCTGCTGTGATGATGTGTAGTATTAGATGCTGTTGTTTTTTACTCCATGACAGTTCTGGTATTCCCAATAAGAAGGTCTCTTGGTTGAGTTTAATCTTTAATTTTGTCATCTCTTCCAGCCATCCCTATATCTTAGACCAGTATTTTCGAGCTTTGGCGCATGTCCATATTATCATATTCTCCTTAACCGTTTCCTCTTCCATTTTAAATTCCAATAAGCCATTGTATAATTTAGTAATCATTTTTTTCACTTCTTTGTAATATTTTGTCTAGTTCCTGTTCTTTGTTGTAAAATCCAAATTGTTCCTTGTCTTTTTTATGTTTTGTTTGAATTTGGAGGTATGGCCACCACCCAATTTCAATTCCTTGTGTTTTGAGTTGTATCTGTGATTTCAAGTCACCTTCACCTGTTATGAGTTCTTTGTATTTTATTGTTTTATTCAGATCCATGGCATTAGGATATATTAATGCCTCCATTGGAGATAGCCAGAGAGGTATTTTCACAGTGTTTTTTTTATTGCCTCCCATTCACATAATAGAGCATCTCTTATCCAGTGAAAGTAACTATGGGTCCTGTTTTTCTCTTTTTAAAATATATTTTTCTTGATATATATATATATATGTGGATCTTTGGTTATTTGGGTTTTCTCCCGCGAAAAATTGGAAGTATCTTGGCGACATTTCGCCGAAGTCTCATTCGTCATATTCAGGCTTGTGTCTTCGGCTTTGTGATTCTCGGAGTAATGTGAGCTTGCAGCTACTTCTTCCTTTTAACTGCTAGTCGGGGTGTGACTTGATTGGGTGGGGGCTTGGCTGTGTTCTGATTGGGTGGGGGTGTGTTCTCATTGGAAGGGGGTTTGGCTGTGTTCTGATTGGTTGGGGGGTTGGCTGTGTTCTGATTGGCTGGGGGTGTGTTCTGTTCAGGTGGGGGCTTGGTTGTGCTCAGGTTAGTCTTAGTTGCCAGGGGATTTGAGCTGGTGAGCTGTGATCCTGTTGTTTGGCTTCGCGTTCGTGGTCATGCCACATCTTCATGGTGGGCGTCCGTTCGCTTCATGTATGGGTCAGAGGGGTTTGAAGCAGGTAGTGATGCAGCTGTGGTACGGCTTTTGGTCCGTGGTCGAGTCCCATCATCTTTGTGGGTGTGAGTCTACTTTCTACATGGAAGTGTGGTGGTAGCATCTTGTGTGGTCCTCGTGGGTGTGGGTCTGGTGTCATTGTTCATGTTAGGTACCCATTTGTTAATGAGGGCGGGTTTCCAAATGGTTGGTAAGCGGGAGGTATCATCTAGTTTATTCATGCTGTGTGGGCATTTTTCTATCACTATGGCTTTTCTGATTATTCTGTTGTTGAAGTGTTCACACCCTCAGCCAATCAGAACACAGCCAAACCCCCAACCAATGAGAACACACCCCCACCCAATCAGAACACAGCCAAGCCCCCACCCAATCAAGTCACACCCCCACTAGCAGTTAAAAGGAAGAAGCAGCTGCAAGCTCACATTAGTCGGAGAAGCACAAAGCCGAAGACACAAGCCTGAATATGATGAATGAGACTTCAACGAAACGTCGCCAAGATACTTCCAATTTTACGTAGGAGAAAACCCGAATAACCAAAGATCCACATACAAATACCCGCAAAAATCTGTGTGTGTGTGTGTGTGTGTGTGTTTTCTTAAGTTTTCGCGGGTATTTTTATGTATGGTATTCAGCTTTGTTCAGGTATTTTCCCACATCATTATAGTTATGCTTTTAAAGTTGTAGCAGAATCTCATCTGCCATCATCAGGCTTCTATATTGTGTTCGTCTGTGAGTCAGACTTTCACAGCTGTTTCTGTTTTAAATTTGGTACTAACCTACGCTGTGCCAGAATGGTTTTTTCTTCATCCTGATTGGTTGGGAGTCTTGGTCTGTGTTAATTGGTCTTGGAATTTGCTGTATTCTGCTTCACTGGTGTTTCTAATATCTTCTCTCTGTTTTGTAGCTTAATATCTACTAATATCTTCTGTCTGTTTTGTAGCTCTGTCTGTTTTGTAACCTAAACAGCACACATCCCAAAACAAAATCCACCATGCAAACAGAAACAAACAAACAACTACCATTCCTAAATCTACTAATCTACAAAAAACAGATGGCACACTAGGACACACCATATACCAGAAGAAAAAACACACCAACCACTACCTCAACGCCCAAGCCCACCACCATCCAGCACAGATAAACTCCGTGACCAAAACACTAATTGCCAGAACCAAACGCCTGGCAGACAAGACACACATAAAGACTGAACTATGCACCCTGCACTATGTACTGACAGCCAGCGGCTTTCACAAAAGAAAAATCACTGGCTCGATCCATAAAAACACACTGAGACATAATGGAGACCTAGAAGATGAACAGACCTATGGAACAGCTGTCCTGCCCTACATAAGAGGTACTACAGACAAAATCAGTAAGATACTACACAGGCATCACATCAAGACTGCCTTCAAAACAGACAGAAAAATAGCAGCCATCCTAAGAAAACCCAAAGATAAAATTGACCTGGAAAACCAAGGCATATATGAAGTCCCCTGTGCATCATGCCCTGCCACATACATTGGACAGACCAATAGAAGAATAAGTGCCCACCTAGATGAACACAAAAATGCAGTAAAAAAGCTGGAACACACTTCCTCACTAGTCCAACAAATGAAAGCCACAGGTCATAGCATCAACTTCAATGGCACCAAAACCCTAGCCACTATAGAAAACCCCAGTTACAGAATTATCAGAGAAGCCATAGAGATTGAAAAAAGACCTGAAAGCATGAACAGAAGAGATGACTCCACCAGACTGTCAATTATCTGGAAGCCTGCACTCTCAAACAAAAAAATCTCCACACCACTAGCCAGGCAAACACTTGGGCACAAACAGACTCCCCCTGATCCCTCCAGCTCAAACACACCCCAACCAGGCACCCAGATGAAACCTAGCTTCCTAATAAATGATAGCCGTCCATTTACTCGGAGCCAAGCTACACTAAAAGCCTCCAATACAGGAAACACAATGTTGCCAGCCAATCAAGTCAAAAAAAGCTACAAAACAGACAGAAGATATTAGAAACACCAATCAAGCAGAACACAGCAAACTCCAAGACCAATAAAGACAGACCAAGACTCCCAACCAATCAGGATGAAGAAAAAACCATTCTGGCACAGTGTAGGTTAGCACCAAATTTAAAACAGAAATGGCTGTGAAAGTCTGACTCACAGACGAACACAATACAGAAGCCTGATGATGGCAGATGAGTTTCTGCCGAAACGTTGCTACAACTTTAAAAGCAGAACTATAATGACGTGGGAAAATGCTGAACAAAGCTGAATACCGTGTGTGTGTGTGTGTGCGTGTGCGTGTGCGTGTGTGTGTGCATGTGTGTGGATCTTTGGTTATTCAGGTTTTCTCCCGTGTAAGATTTGAAGTATCTAGGCAACGTTTCGATGAAGATAGATAGATAGATAGATAGATAGATAGATAGATAGATGGATACATACATACATACATACATAGATACATACATACATAGATACATACATACATAGATACATACATACATACATACATGTTGTGGCTCCGGGCTTGGATTCAGCTCCTGTGACTGATATGAGTTCAAGTGAGGAGGTCATGGCAGAAAAATATGAGCTGGCATGGCTCAGTGATTGGACTGGTAACCAGGATGAGGAGATGGACGTGACAAAGGACGACAGACCTGATGTATTAGAATTGTCAGGACCTTTGACCTCCTCTGGTTCCTTATCTGATCAACAGCCGGGAATGGCTGACAGGGCAGTTTTGAGAGAGTCTTCTAGTGGAGATGAGAACTTGGAAAATTTGTGGTTAAATGTAAAAAACAGAAGACGGTTGAGAAGGCAAAATCAGCTGGAGCGAATGAGGAGAGCAAGTCAGTAAATTAGCACATGGCCTCAATGAGTATAAAACGACACAGCTGGGCTGGTACATTTTGCCAGGAACAAAGTGACTTATTTGAGTGAGGA